ATCGTGCCAATTGCTTCATTATGAAAACATTTATTTTTCCTCGATTTTAATACATCTCTTTTTCAAAACTGTTTCCTTAGATACCATTTCAAGTGATTACCCATCTAATTATCTCCTGAGCTGGGGGGAGAGGGGCAGGCTGGATGGAGGCAGGGTGGAGAGGGTGTTTTCTGCATAGGAGGAGCCTGAGCTTGTTTTCATCACCAGTCCTGTTCTGGGAGTCAGTGGGCAAGTCTTTGAGGGGCGGGAGATTGGGAACAGTTGCTAAAATTGTGGTGCAGCTGGTCCTCTTTCCTGGAGGAAAACCACATTTCATCTCCAAGGGTTCTTAAAGGTAAGACTTTCCCTAGTCACGCCCAACAGTAAGGAAAGACACAAGCCCCAGACAGAAATCCTTTCCTCTCCTTAGACTAGGAACCGAATTTACTGTCTTGAATCCCTTTCCCCACTAATTAGTTCAGTCCTGGATTCCTCATCCTGGACATTTTGTAACATACACACTGAGACAACCATTATCTGGTCCTTCCTGTACCTGTTAACCAACTCTCTTCCTCTGTGCCCACAATTAAGGCCCTTATAAAACTTAATGAGATAAAAGTAAAAGTTCAAGGAATCTCCTATTTTCCTTTAAAAGGTTATCTTATTTGATAAATGTCCCAGAATCTGCTTCTGTTACTGCCGGCTGAGACCCACCTGGAGACCAAGCGATCAGCCTCCAGTTCAACTCTGTCCCTGACTCCTGGGAGCCGGCACCTGCCCAGGCACAGCCCGCTCTAGGGATTCAGTTTCCTCAGCTGGAAAATAAGGTTTGCCTAATCCCTCCCACATTCCAAAAGATAAATACCTATTTTTAGACATCAAAGCATACACATTTTAATGGAAGAAAGATGGTAAAAACCAGTGGGAACATCTGAATCATTCACTGAGAAACAAAAACGACTCAGCTATAAAGTCTTTAAGACATAAAATACAAATTCTAACGAATATCTCCATCAGTTAGAGATGTATTTATCATGTTTATTTTGGAAAAACAAACATAAGTATGTGAATTATTAGTAACAAAATCACAACCATTTCAAGTCTATATATAATTAGTGGTATACCACATGTGGGGTAACAGTAAGCAGTTATTTGGCAAATTATCTCCCATTCCAGGATTGGACATTTCAGAGCAATCTGATCCTATTACCCATGGCTAAACTTGTAATTAATTATAATTGGACTACACTGCTAATTGGGTCAGTACTTTCCATAAGCTTTCCAAAAGGGCAATTTTGGGGCAGATATAGGTTGACATTTAACATTTGAAGTCATTAAGTCACCATTTGACTCTTTTAGGATTTTAATAAAATAATTATTAATAACATTCTTCATTATTATCAAGGGTGACGTTCATAGCAAACAATGTATGTATTACCCACTACTGAGATGTTATCCAGTGTCTTGGCTTTAGATAGTAGCAATCTGTGTGTTTGGAATCAAAGTTACTGCATTCTACTTCAATTCCCCAGACTATGGTTTACTCCCAGCACCAAAAAGGAAATTACAGTACGGGGGAGCTTTTCCATTTACGTCACTACATGGAGGAGCTGTTTTTCTCTGAAATAACTGATGTTTTCTAAAGTCTATTAATCACTGAAAAGTCAAAGCCAAGATCTAGTCTTACCCTCAAAAACTGATAGTGCTCAAAAGACATCAGTAATAAACAAAGGTTTCCATGTTTTGATTGAGTAATATTCAAAATAACATAAACCCATACTTCAGGCATTTAATAGTAGCCAATGTTATAGAAATGGTTTAAAACAGGAGAGGAATGTGAACCCCTTTTGAATTAAATATTTACAAGCCTGGATGATATTAAATTTCTGTGATTAACATTTTAGATTTATTTTTTATATAACTCTCATAAATTTAGACTCAGTGTAAGAACTCTTCTTAAAACTAAACATTAAAGGATGTTAATTTATTAAAGTTGCAGTAGAGGTTCCCCAAGAAAACTTCTATGAAATCTATAACATGGTTTGTTTTCTCTATAAATTCTAATATGTTGAATAAGTTAAATGACTCATCATCTTTACTGTTTGATATGAACTATAATAAATACTTCATTTTTAATAATCCCCCAAATAAATTTAATATGGCCAACTCTTGAGTTTTTATGCAAACATAGAAAGTAATGTTAGAAATAATCCTGTACTTATTCTTGTTTGAGGACTTAATGCATAAAACATGTATTTATTTTTGGCATCAGGTTTAGTGTTTTAAGATAATACTAAACCTAACTTACAATTTCTCAGTGGAAGAGAAATGATGCTAAGAGACTGGGAAAGAGAAGGAAAATAATAGTACTTGCAGTGTTGCTGGTGGTGAGGATTAAATAAACTCATTCAAGGAAGAGGGGAAAGGGAGAAAGTCATTAGCTGCAGGCAGGAGCCAAATGGAACTTAAAAAAATGGCTGAGAATCACTGTGGAATAAATGATTGACATATGGATAATTGAATGTGGGCTTAGCAATTCTGGGAGTAGATATTGTGGTTGTATCTGAAGTAGAAATCACAGCTTAGTTCTTTGGCTTTCTAATAGGAACTTTTGGAAATGAAATTGGATAGGAGAATGAATTAAGACAGATGAAAGAGTCAAGACTGAAATCTTAAGACTAAATCTGTAATATTTGTCTAGCATCTCCTGTATTTATGAGTTATTACCTTATTTAATCCTCACTGCCAATGACACCGTAGTACTGTTACTTTTTTCTTTTACAGATGAAGAACCTAAGGTTTACAGAGGTTAAGCGATTGTCAAAAGTCGAGTAACAAGAGGCTGAGACAGATGTGCTTTTGTCTGGCCCATGATATTAATTACTAAAAACAGAGGTTTTTTAATCCAGTGTCCTACATCTGATGACCAAGGGAAGTCTGATATATGCACAATTTAATATCTATGTGGATTTTTCCCCCGGTAAAATAGTTGTAGTTTTATCACAGACTCAAAGGGATGAACAACCAAACAAAGGTAAGAAGCAATGGACTAGGGTGATGAGTCAAATCAACAATTTTTTAAAAAACAAGGATAAATGTGAAAACATGGATTTAAATTTAAGCCTAGAAGTACATAATAGTGGTATCCTGGAAAGAGAGCAGCAAAAACATCTGCAATTTTAAAATACAGCAAGTTTGAAATGCATCCACAGTGTGACTAAGTTCCTCAGAGAAGTAGCGCAACTGTGGGCCGCTGGAAGACGGGGCAGGAAGAAGACCCTTCTCAGTGGGGTCTGGGCTGCTCAGGCCACATTGTGAACAGGATTCTCAGCACCACCCACCAGGGAAATACTGAAAAATGGAGTGAGGTTTATTCAGAGAAAGGTGATAAGAATGATAATGAGTACAAAAACCCTATCATGTGTGGAAGAAATGAATGATCTGGGAATAAAGGCTTGAAGAAGAAAATACACCGATAGTAGAAGGCGGTTACATTGGTCATGGAGAACAAGTCAGAACCAGAGGTTAGCAGGAGGCAGAGTTCCCTCAACTTGGTCTCTGAGGGAAAGAATTTTATAGCATAGGTAATTAGTGACCCTGTGATCACTGTAAGTGTTGAAGCAAAGGCTCTCAGTAGTAATCCAACAGGGTTTAAGGAAAACTTTAAGAAGAACCATCGTAGGAAAAGTCTAGCATCTGCACATTAAGAAATGCCTCCATAAAATCCTGATTAAAAACTAGGTTTGTACTGGCTGCTGGAAGACTGTGCACCCAAATAATAATTGTAAAAGTTATTATTGCATTGGTAAGAAATGTCTCAATAGGGAACGTTTACATTCTCTAATTTCTAAATTCTGAGAGAGCAAGCCATACCACATAACAATATTACACTGTCATCTGTAGAACTGAATCCCTCTCATGCAAATATTAGCACAATGCATAGTAGCAGAAGCTTCAACATAACATGATTTCTAGACTAATACATTTCTAAGGTGTTTTTCAGAGATGTGAAGTATTCTCAAGTGCTTTAGAAACGTTAACCTTGGAAGATATTCTGACTTTCAAGGTACAGTGAGAAAGGTGCTTATGTTATTAGTCCTCGATGAAAGCAGGAAGTAGGAATAAGAGAAACTTCAAAGGCTAGGGGAGCAGTATGGGGGTGTTGCTGGTCTCCCCCTGACCCTGGTCTGATAAACTCAAAGGCTGAAGAAACGTTAATGTTATCTGTGTTGATTTGCTGAGCAAGTACGAGGGCTCTGTGAATATACATTCACACACATGGCATTGGCCCACCCCTCCCCATTCATATACTAAAGAAAATGCATGTGCTCACTGTCATTTCTGAGGAAATTATTAAGCAGTTGGAAAAGAGGAAAACTATCCCAGGAGTCTTGTGGTTGAGCCTCCAGTGCAGTATCCATATCCACTGTGAACAATGCCCAAAATTTCTCTGCATGCTCCGCCAATAAATCGGGCCACCAGGCAAATGCCTGTAAAAGTATAAAGAAATGATGTTAAAAGTAGAATACTTGTTAGAAATAAGCACAAACACTATGCCACTTGAAAACATGTCATTAGTTGTTAAATCATAGTGCAGTGCTCTAGAGTATGAAACCAAAAATTTTAATATTTTTATTCAGAGAAAAAAAAGAAGTATTGGAAATAAATACACTAGAACATTCACAGTCAGTATGGGCAAGGAATTGTCCTTTCTTTTGTTTTATATATTTTTTCAAATCTTCTAAATTAAATACATTTTTAAATAAAGTAATGAATGCCATTTTATATTTTAATTCTCTTTTAGACTTCATAGTTTATTTAATGCTGTTTGCTTATTGTTTGAATATGTGTATCCAAAAAAATTTCTTCTTGCATTAAAAATTTTATTTTTCATTTCTAGCATTTTTTTTAATGAACATAAGCTCTAAAGCTAAAACACACTTCTGTAAATATGGATTTCATAACATTCCAGTGTAAATAGGTTCTCTGATAGTCTTCAACAGTCTTATTTACTCTTAGATGGTCTCTCTGATACTCAGTATTTTTATTTCACAGGTCTTAGGATTGTATATATATGACTACATATGGGAGTATTTTAGTGTCTACCTCTTAAATTAGACTGTAGATACTACAGGGACATATCTATATTCTGCTTATCACAATACAATCTAGGCATTACCTAATGCCTTTTAGATAATGGCAATAATCACTTAAAAAAACTCCGTTATTTAGATGGTTGAAATATTACTTACTTTTTAGACAATTCTTGAAAATACTGTGGCCTAACTATAGACTGGGCACTAAGGTTGCCTGCCCATGGTCCCTGCCAGCCAGCCTGCCTGTAGACCCCACCACTCAGCCCACCCAGGGGCCCCAACAAGCAGCCCAATCAGAAACTCTGATGGGGCTGACTGGTAAAGGGTTTTGCTTGTGGAAGCCAGTCTGTAAAAACTGGAGGAGGTGATTGCTTCTTGAAATGTGCAGACAATAATACAAGGCTACAAGGATCATTAAGAATCAGAAAAACATGACACTACCTAAGGAACAAAATAAAGCTCCAGCAACCAACTCCAATGAAATGGAGATCTATGGTCTACCTAAAGGAGTTAAAAAAATCATCTTAAGCTCAGTAGGCTATAAGATAGACAACTAAATGAAATCAGGAAAACAATACATGCAAAAAATGAGAATTCAAGAAAGAGGCAAGAAACCAATAAAAGAACCAAGCAAATTTTCTCTAAGTGTAAATTTTCTGGAAAAAAAAATTCAACAGAGAGCTTCAACAACAGATTTGATTCAGCAGAAGAGTGAATCAATGAACTCAAAGACAAGTAATTTGATGTTATCCAGTCAGTGGAACAAAAAGAACAAAGAATGAACAAGGGTGAAAAAGCCTATGGTACTTACTGAACATCTTCAAGCAAACCAATAATATGTAATATGAGAGTCTCAGAAAGAGAAGTCAAAGAGAAAGGAGTATAAAGCTTATTTAAAGGAACAGTGGCTGAAAATCCCCAAATCTAGAGAGGGAAATGGATATCCAGATTCATGAGGCCCAGGGGATACAAAATGGCTGGACCCAAAGAGGTCTACACCAAGACACATTGAAACTAAATTATCAAAAGTCAAAGACAAAGAGAGAATTTTGAAAACAGCAAGAGAAAAATGACTCATCATATACAAGAGAACTCCCTCAGAAGGCTATCAGCAGATTTCTCAGCAAAATTCATGGAGGCTTGGAGAGAATGATAAGATACACCCAAAATGCTAAAGAAAAAAATACTCTCCAAGAATAGCCTTATTTATATAATAGTCAGCAAAACTGTCCTCTAAATCTAAAGATTGTCCTAGACAAACAAAAACTGATAAAGATAGTGATTAGGCCTGTCTTACAAAGAGCACTAAAGGAATTCTTCAACTTGAAACAAAACAATGCTAAGCAGCAATACAAATGCATATGGAAGTGTAAGTCTCATTGATAAAGATAAATATATAGATAAATAGTAGTGTAATACTATAATAGTAATGCATAAATCACTTTTAACATTAGTATAAAATCTAAAAGAGAAAGGTATTATTAATAACTATTATCACAAACATTTTTCAATGGATACAATATAGAGGAAGTAAATTCTCATATCAATAACATGTTTGGGGGAGTGGAGTAAGTGTAGGATTTTTGCAGTGATTGAATTTGTTATTAGTTTAAAATATTTTTTGAACTTCTCGAATTTGGTTGAGAGATAAACCTTACCTATCAATAATTACTTTAAGCATAAATGGATTAAACTCTCCAATCAAAAGACAGACCAAATGAATGCATAAGACAAGATCCAACACATGTTGCTTTGAAGGGACTCACTTTGGATGTAAGGACATACATATGCTGAAAGCAAAGGATGAAAAAAAGATACTACATGCAAATGGCAACCAAAAGAGTAGGAGTTACTATACTTGCATCAAACAAAATAGACTTTAAGTTAAAAACTGCCACAAGAGACAACAGGAGGTCATTATGTAATGTTAAAAAGGGTCCATTCCCCAGAGCTGTGGAACAATTATAAATACATACACACCCAACACTAAAGCACTTAAATATATAAAGCAAACATTTACAGATATGAAGGGAGAAATAAACAGCAACGCAATTACAATAGGAGACTTCAATACTACACTTTTAATAATGGACAGATCATCCAGACAGAAAATTAGTAAGGAAACATCAGATTTGAACAACACCAATGAACCAAATGAACTTAAAAGACATATACAGAACATTCCACCCAACAGTAGCAGACTACATATTCTTATCAAGCACATACAGACATTCTTCAGGATAGATCATATGCTAAGTCACAAAATAAGTCTTTAACAAATTTAAGAAGATTGAAATCATCTCAAGCATTTTTTCCAGCAACAATGGAATGAAATTAGAAATCAATAACAATAGGAAAAAGAAAAACTAAAAAATATAAAAAATTAAACAAGACACTCATGAACAACCAGTGGGGCAAAGAAGAAATCAAAAAGGAAATAGAAAATACTTTGAGAAAAACAAAAATGAAAATACAACATAGCAAAACTTATGGGATACAGTTAAAGCAGGACTAAGAAGTTTACAGCAGTAAACACATACATTAAAGAAGAAAGATCTCAAATAACCTAATGCTATGTCTTAAGGAACTAGGAGAATAAGAACAAACTAAGTCTGAAGTTAGGAAAAGAAAGAAAATAATAAAGATTAGAAGATAAATGAAATAGAGAGTAGAAAAACAATGGAAAAGTCCAATGAAACAATGGTTGGTATTCTGAGCAGATAAACAATAACAACAAATGTTAGTTAGACTAACAAGTAAAAAAGAACACTCAAATAAAATTATAAATGAAAGACAAGACACTATTAGTGATGCCAGAGGAGTAAAAAAAATCCTGAGACTATTATGCACAATTACACATCAACAGATTGAACAACCTAAAAGAAAGGAATAATTCCTTAAAATGTAGAACCTATCAAAACTATTATCAAGAAGAAACAGAAAACTTGACCAGATCAAAAACAAGTAAGTAATCTGACTCAGAAATAAAAAACTTCCCAATAAGAAGAGCCCATGACCAGGCAATATGATTTCTGTCAATCTATTAACACCAAATGTTTTTCCATTTATTTGTGACTGCTTAGCACTTAAATATATAAAGCAAACATTTACAGATATGAAGGGAGAAATAAACAGCAACGCAATTACAATAGGAGACTTCAATACTACACTTTTAATAATGGACAGATCATCCAGACAGAAAATTAGTAAGGAAACATCAGATTTGAACAACACCAATGAACCAAATGAACTTAAAAGACATATACAGAACATTCCACCCAACAGTAGCAGACTACATATTCTTATCAAGCACATACAGACATTCTTCAGGATAGATCATATGCTAAGTCACAAAATAAGTCTTTAACAAATTTAAGAAGATTGAAATCATCTCAAGCATTTTTTCCAGCAACAATGGAATGAAATTAGAAATCAATAACAATAGGAAAAAGAAAAACTAAAAAATATAAAAAATTAAACAAGACACTCATGAACAACCAGTGGGGCAAAGAAGAAATCAAAAAGGAAATAGAAAATACTTTGAGAAAAACAAAAATGAAAATACAACATAGCAAAACTTATGGGATACAGTTAAAGCAGGACTAAGAAGTTTACAGCAGTAAACACATACATTAAAGAAGAAAGATCTCAAATAACCTAATGCTATGTCTTAAGGAACTAGGAGAATAAGAACAAACTAAGTCTGAAGTTAGGAAAAGAAAGAAAATAATAAAGATTAGAAGATAAATGAAATAGAGAGTAGAAAAACAATGGAAAAGTCCAATGAAACAATGGTTGGTATTCTGAGCAGATAAACAATAACAACAAATGTTAGTTAGACTAACAAGTAAAAAAGAACACTCAAATAAAATTATAAATGAAAGACAAGACACTATTAGTGATGCCAGAGGAGTAAAAAAAATCCTGAGACTATTATGCACAATTACACATCAACAGATTGAACAACCTAAAAGAAAGGAATAATTCCTTAAAATGTAGAACCTATCAAAACTATTATCAAGAAGAAACAGAAAACTTGACCAGATCAAAAACAAGTAAGTAATCTGACTCAGAAATAAAAAACTTCCCAATAAGAAGAGCCCATGACCAGGCAATATGATTTCTGTCAATCTATTAACACCAAATGTTTTTCCATTTATTTGTGACTGCTTTAATTTATTTTATCAGTGTTTTAGACTTTTCAGTGTACAAATCTTTCACCTCCCTGGTTAAGTTTAGTCCTAAGAATTTTATTCATTTTGATGCTATTGTAAACGAGAGTGTTTCTTCTTTTTTGGATAGTTTATTGTTAATGTGTAAAATGCAACTGATTTTTTGTATATTCATTTCACATCATGTGTCTTTGCTAATTTGTTCATTAGTGCCAACAGCTT